TAAAATCTGGGCTGGGCTTGCTTGTTTGTTTTTAAAGTCCCCCTGTAGTCAAATATTTTATCCCTTAAAACTTATCTTTGATCATCAAAATGACATATTTAAATGTTTTTTCTTGTGAAAATAAGTTTCTCATGCCTTAAAATAGCTTGAATGTAACTCTACACCCTTGCCTCATTTACTATACGTGGATCTATTAATATGCAAATTAGTCCCACCTCCACTCAGTCAAACAGCCAGCGCCTCCTGATCCACTGAACTGTAACCGCAAAACAATGGCATACACGGATAATGACTGATAAAACTATGTTTTTACTAGCGGACAACTACAGTGAATACTGTAACATTCGTTAAAGTTACTTACTTGACGATGTTGTGTCCTAAAATGCCTTGAAGACTCGAATGCAGCTGTTTGTGATTGTTAATTCGCTCCCGCTAGCATACGCATGTGAAGTGCAGACGCAGCTGCGGGAGAGGTGGGTCTGATCCCGGGCTACTTTTACACTGTTGCCGCGGGTTATAATGCAAGTTAGCGGTTCTAAATTCACATTAAACCACAGCTTCATGGGTTTTTTGCTCTGATTTATTTTTGGTTTTGTGCTGGTATTGGTATATTTTGCATGCTAGTGATAGGAATCGATCCCTTGACGTGATTGGTTATTGGTTTGTGACGTAGCAAAGCTTACACTTAATGCACAGTGCATTAAATTTCACCTTATAACCTTTAAACCACCCACCTTGATCAATGACCATTTGATGACCATTACAATATTAAAACAAAAAGTAACTAATTACATTACTTGGTTACTTTTTATGGAAAGTAATGTTTGTGTTACTTTTACATTACTTTTAAAATCTGGGCTGGGCTTGCTTGTTTGTTTTTAAAGTCCCCCTGTAGTCAAATATTTTATCCCTTAAAACTTATCTTTGATCATCAAAATGACATATTTAATGCAGCCGTTTGTGATTCTTAATTCGTTCCCGCTAGCATACGCATGTGAAGTGCAGACGCAGCTGCGGGAGAGGTGGGTCTGATCCCGGGCTACTTTTACACTGTTGCCGCGGGTTATAATGCAAGTTAGCGGTAAAATGGAGCTGGGCAGTCAGTAAACGGGAAAACAAAGTAACTGGCATCACTTATTTGAAAAAGTAACTCAAAAGTAAGATATTTTCTTGCAAATTAAAAAGTAATGCGTTACTTCACTAGTCACTTGAAAAAAAAGTAGTCTGATTACGTAACTCGCGTTACTTGTAATGCATTATCCTTAACACTGTTGATGACCACCATAAATATTCAACGATATCTTGCAAACCAACTAATCTGCTTATGTATAACCCACCTCGACTGTATAGTCATTTGTCCTTGATAGTCACAAAAATGCCACTGCTGAATATATGGATTTACATTCATGATTTCCTATTGATACAGGACATATTTATCAGTACTGCTGCTTATGATTTGCAATCTGGATTATGTAATCATAAAATATATTGGTAACACTTTGCTTAAAGCCTTTATAATGCATTACAGCTGTAACAGTGAATAGCTAAGTGTTATAATGTATTATAACTGTGGTTACTATTATTCATGAGTTCATACAATGCGTTACAAAGCATAATTAATGCATTTAATCTTATTTTATTATGCATTATGTATAAAGGCATTAAGTAAAGTGTTACCTATATATTTTTTAGTAGGTATATTTTACTGTTTTTATTTATTTTATTATTATTATTATTATTATTATTATTATTATTATTATTATTATTATTATTTTACATATTATTTTACATTGTTAATTGTGATTTAATTAAGCATCAGCTTCTTTCAGTTCACAAACCCCTGAAGGTCTTTCACAAACCCCAGTGGTGTAATATAACGTTCAATGCATTTCAAGATGTTGATAACTAAGAACGGAATATATTTTCTTTCTCTTTGTATTTTTATATCGAGTGTGGTACAAAATAATCGAGTTAGGTCAAAAGTAATCCAAAATTAGTCAAATTAGACTACCTAAAATGTGTAATCTAATAGATTACGCTATTGGCTACATTTTTCGTCATGTAATTTGTAATCAATGGACTACAGTTTGTAAGTAATCTACCCAGCACTGTTTATCAGTACTGGTATCTCACATTAATGCTTAATTCTAACCTTTATTGCATCCTTTTTACTCTTTGTGCGCTTTTTTGGAAAATAGCGACCTCTGATCTTCAGATAATTCTACTCTAAAGTCTTTATAAAGTATTCATACGGATGATAATGCATTATGTGTGTTTGCTTTTCCTTTGCCAGAGAAGAGCTCCAGCGCAGTAGGGGTTAATTTTTACACACTGTGCCAAATACCCACACAGCAGCCTGTGTCCTCTCTGAAATATTAATGAATCCTGCCGATATGCAGAGAGAGAGGGGGAGATGGATGCCAGGGTAAAATGTTGACCACATTGACATTTCATCTTGGTCTAATTAGAAGCGCTTGAGGTGTTCCCACTGTATTTTAACCACGTTTCTGCACTGAAATTAATTTATGCTTTGCAACGAAATCAGTTGATATCCATTTATCCCATGCAGAATAAATCCATTTATTCTCACATTGTCATAATGACACAACACGGCACAGTATCACGTTGTCAGCGTGTTTCTGGAATTAAACGCGGGCATGGGGCATCCTAAGGAGGCGTGTGTAATCGTTCTCTGGTTCTCCTGCAATCCTGCTCACACTTAGTTTGACTGGGAGAAACTATCCTGGTGCAATATCTGGAAGTCTATCAAGCCTTTCCATTTATACATGGCTGTTTCGCATGTCTATATTGGAGCAAATGCATATGCGAGTGCATATACGTGCCTCTAAAAAGCCAGTGCAAACTAAAGTGAGAGACTGCTTTAGTGCTCTTCTTAGTTAGTTGTCTGGATAATGGCTCTCTCTTGAGGGTTTCCGTGACTCTGTTTTCTGTGTGTAATGGAGAGAGGGGGCTTAAGCTCGCCTGAATGCATCACACTGCCACTACACCATCTCGCACTCAAGCACTTCTGTGTTTTTCTCCTGCCAGTCGGCCCTTTTGTGCCCAAAATGAAGCTCAATGTTTCCCCCTACCGTCTGAAAGAAGTAAAACATTCCTCGTGACAGCCAAAGATCCCTCGCAGATAAGCACTGGGCCTGAACCTCTTGATATTCAGGATGGCTTTGTGAGTGGTGAAAAAATAATTGCATTTAGGTGCTTTTACATAAAAGTTATTAAAATGGAATGGTATGCACAAGCAATAAACAAAGAGCCAAAAATCAGATATTAGCATTCGTGCGAAAGCAATGGCATAGAATAATAATTAATATTCCCGTGGCCTTTTTTATCGCCGTGCCGTGCCACATATGAATTTCCGGGGGGCAGAGGCGGGTGTCAAATATCCTGACTTTTGCACAGCGGAGAGCTATTAAAACCAGCCGGATCCAAAGGAGACGTCCTCCAACTCTTTCTCTCTTTTTCGCGTTCTTGCTCATTGGTTTTGGTGTGAAACTATAGCCGCCCCTCCTCTCTTTCTCTCTCTTTTGCTCCCGTTGCAGATCCTGCATATGTTATGGAAGGCAGAGGCAGCAGTTTTATATAACCCAGAATAGACGCCTGCATTAACACATCCACACTGTGCGATAATATCTAGTAATCTTGCGTTCAGCATCAGCTTTGGTGAAATGAAATAAGCAGTTTCTCAGCGTCGATGCACTAGAAACATTATCTTTATCCAAGCGTTAAAAGTACCGGCATGCTTTAAAGATAGAGTTCATCCAAAAATGAAAATTGTATCGCCATTTACTTACCCTCATGATAATACAAACCCATATGACTTTATTTTTGACAAAAGGTGATGTGTAGCAGAAGGTCTGAGATGATGGGTTTTTCTCCCCCCATTCAATGGGAGTGGATGTGGACCAGGGGCTCTCAAGCTCAATAACGGAGGAAAAAAGCTCCATAAAAGTTGTTCACAGGATTTGTGCACTGTATTCTAGCTATAGCTTTGTGTGAGGAATTTAATCGAAACTGGATATTAGTCTTCATTGAGAATCTTGCCTGACAGCCATGGTCACCATTCACTTCTATTGTGTGGAAAAAGAAGCTCGGGCATTTTACTGTAAATTAATTTTCTGTTAAATGGAAGAAAAAGTTTTAAATTTCTAAAATATATGAATATAGAAGCCTGTTTCTCTTCTCTATCTATCTATCTATCTATCTAAATAATAATAATAATAATAAATGGGTAATTATAAGATCAAGTTTAAAATATAAAATAGTCATTTCAAAATATAATTTAAGTATTATAAAAATATTAAGTATTGTTTAGAAAAAAAATATATTATAAAAATGTTATTTCTCCTACATTTCCAGATACAGGAACAGTCAATGCTCATAAACATATTGAGTGAGTTTGAGTGCATTGATGCCAAAGCTTTTCAATGAATGTGTGTTTATATATAAAACATGTTTTGCATTGTTTTATTTATTTTTTTTTGACATGTCAATATTTTTTTTCATAGATCCATACATGAGGGCAACTAATTTGGGGGGCACTGTCCCTTTAAAAAAAATAAAATCCAGCTAGAAGAATAGTTTCATGCGTAATATGCCAGTTTGCAACCATAGATGTGGGAAACGCAGACACTATGTTGCTAGAAAATGTTAATGCACTAATTTGATTAGGGAAATGTCCAGCTGGGCATTTGCAAATTTTTTGATACATGCTAGTAGGTATAACCTCACCACCGGCTGCGATGTCTGCTTAGCTTTACCTTTCACTGATTTGTGTCTTAATGTGCCCGACAATCTTTGCATTTTTAATAAAACACTCTCTTGAACGTGCATGAGAGAGCGTGAGATACTTAGTGTGTGTGTGTGTGTGTGTGTGTGTGTGTGTGTGTGGGGAGGTTATAGTGTGTCAAGAGAGACTTGCAGACAGAGGGAAGAGACTCAGCATGAGAGCTAACCCGTTTTCCTCTGTGCTCTGATTCCTGTAGGAGCGCACCCATGGAGCAACTGCTGCTGTGCCTGGCTCTGTTCTCCATGCCATCCTACGCCATGCTGTGCCCCAAACGGTGCACCTGCCAGAACCTGCTGCCCTCGTACACCGTGCTGTGCGCCAAAACTGGCCTGCTCTTCGTGCCGCCTAATATCGACCGGCAGACCGCCGAGCTGCGACTAATGGACAACTTCATCACCACCCTGCGCCACCAAGACTTCGCTAACATGAGCAGCCTCATACACCTCACACTCTCCCGCAACACCATCAGCCAGATCCGACCATACGCCTTCGCCGACCTGCAGGATCTGCACGCGCTGCATCTGGACGCAAACCGGCTCACGGTGCTAGACGACACCCATCTGCAGGGGCTTGTGAATCTGCGCCACCTTATCCTCTCCAACAACCAGCTTCACAGCATCTCCGACGGAGCCTTCCAAGACTTCCTAGAAACTCTCGAGGACCTCGACCTTTCTTACAACAACCTGGTGGACGTGCCGTGGGACACTATAGCCATGCTAGCCAGCGTCAACACCCTCAGTTTGGACCACAATCTCATCGAGTTTGTTCCCGAAGGGATATTTTCCAATCTTCATAAACTCGCCCGACTTGATATGACATCCAACAAGTTGAAGAAGTTCCCCCCAGATCCTCTATTCCTACGAATCCCCGTCTATGCCAAAATGAAAGGCTCGCCGCTAACCGCGCTGGTGCTCAGTTTCGGCGGGAACCCATTGCATTGCAATTGCGAGCTGGTTTGGTTGCGCCGCCTGACGCGGGAGGATGATCTGGAGACGTGCGCGTCCCCGCAAGACTTGGCCGGCAAGTACTTCTGGACGATTCGCGAGGAAGAGTTCGTCTGCGAGCCACCTATGATCACCCGGCACACTTCCAAGATGTTCGTCATGGAGGGTCAAGAGGTTAGTTTGCGATGCCGCTCCGTGGGAGACCCAGAGCCAACTGTCCACTGGGTCAGTCCAGATGGGAAGCTAATCGGAAACACCTCGCGCACCATATGCTACGAGAATGGCTCTTTGGAAATCTTAACAGCCACGGTGAAGGACTCTGGCGTGTTCACCTGCATAGCCTCGAATGCAGCCGGCGAGGCCACGGCTCCTGTGGAATTAGTCGTGAACCCTTCGCCGCATTACGACCCCAAACTGGAGCCGGAGCCGGGACCCTCGGACATGCCGACTTCTATAAAGTCCAACAGCAGTGGTAGCGGCGGCCAGGCTCGAGCTGATCAGCGGGTCAGTGTCTCGGAAATAACCTCAAGCTCTGCGATGATACGCTGGCCTCCGCAAAGCCAAATCCCTGGAGTCCGCATGTACCAGATCCAGTACAACAGCTCCACCGACAACATCCTCATATACAGGTGAGTTTCCTCACAGAACCTTGAGATAAATCCAGGTTTATTTGCATATGTGACCCTGGACCACAAAACCAGTCATAAGGGTCATTTTTTGAAATTGAGATTGGGATACAACTATTTGAAAATCTGGAATCTGAGGGTGCAAAAAAATCAAAATATTAAAAATATCGCCTTTAAAGTTGTCCTAATGAAGTTCTTAGCAACGCATATTACTAATCAAAAATTAAGTTTTGATATATTTACGGTAGGAAATTAATAAAATATTTTCATGGAACATGATCTTTACTTAATATCCTAATAATTTTTGGCATAAAAGAAAAATCTATAATTTTGACCCATACAATGTATTGTTGGTTATTGCTACAAATATACCCCAGCAACTTAAGACTGGTTTTGTGCTCTAGGGTCACATATTGCTTTCACAATACATACTGTTTCAAAGCAGCTTTACAGAAAATGCATGTTTCGAGGTTACTGTATTTTGTTATCAGTCAGAGGTGGTGAGTGTAGTAAAGTAATATCTATATGGAAGTAATATACAGCTACATGTTATGTGGTTAGTAATCAACATCATGTATTCAGTTAAGCAGACACAACGAACGCACGTCTGAAGTCTTTGCAATTGTTGGCATTGTCTGAAATGATTGCAATTATTGCATAGCTTTCTGTTTATCTGTCATCTATGGTTTGCACCAGTGTTAGTTTAGTATAACTAAGATACTATTATAGTGTTTATCAATAGTTTTAATTTGTTTTGTTTTTATATTTTCCATGTTAAAGTTTTATTATTATTTATTTATTTTAGTAATTTTGTTGTGTGTTTTTGGTGTTTATTTATTTATTTATTTACATATTTATTTATCTATGTATTTATCATACGTCTATATAGTTTTTACAAATTTTTGTTTCAGTTTTAGTTATTTTAGTACATGAAGTTAAACTACATGAAAATGTTTTATTGGCAACTAGCTTTGCCAATGATTGCCAAAGTTTATTCATTCATTCATTCATTCATTCATTCATTCATTTATTTAATGGTTTAGCTTTAGTTAACTATAAGAACCCTGGTTTGCACTGATTGTATTCTTGATTAGACTGTAGACAGTAATAACATTTCTTATTGATACTAGAAATATATAAGCACATGAGCGGCATTTCAGAATGCATCAGTGCTAAATTGCTTTTATTTTAATCAATGAAGCTGTCTACACTGGAGGTTGACAGACGCCCCATTGGTAGTTTTGATGAGCTGCTCCAGACATTTTATTATCCCCTTCCATATATAATTATATAATTAAAAGCTAAAAATAGTTATTTGCCAATTGTACTGTTTCTGAAGTCAAGCATCGAGCTCACAGCTGATTTTGTGTTAGTAAAGGTCTGGTTGATGAGCAAAAGCATATTATGAAAACACTGCTATGTGATATGAAGATTACACTAGTTTATTTATGTCATCTAGTAGTTGTTTATAGTGATATTTAGTAGCAAAATACAGGCTGCTTGAGTATCAAATTGACCATGAAGTTTGTCTATGCAAAACCATACATGCAAGATATGCTGATTCCAAATTTTTGAACGCTATGTAGTAAAAATCTCTGCAATGTCTTCTTTCCTAATGCATTATTTGAGAGAGCACTGCGGATGGTCTATCCCCCCAAATGGGGTTTGAATCTGGGTAATTCTGCATTAGATAAACAAATTGATTCTGTCTTTGTTCAAAGGCAAAGGCTGGCATCTGAGACTGGGGGTGTTAATGGCTTATGGCAGAATCCTATTCAGATAGGGGATGAAACATTGCAATTCCTCTGATGAATACAAATGGACCTCGATGATTGCCAGCCAACAAAGACACAATACTATCATGAATGCACTATATGAAATACAAGCATGTATTTTTTTTTTCTGTGCTAATGAAAGGATCCTTCCCAGAAGGACCAGCTCTTTTAGGATATATGTCAGAAAAGCTCTTGAAGGATTTTCATTAGCGCACAGACAGATTGGCTTCCACGGTAATAGTTTCAGCCTGATGCAATTCAAACTGAATTTCGCAAAGCAGGAACCACGAGCCAACACATTGACACCCTTCAATAAATCACAGAACTCAAGGTGCAATGAGGAAGACAATAATAACAGAATAACAATAGAAGCTGCTTGCCCTCGTTTCAGATGCTCCTGACAGATTACAATGAAGGCGTATTTGCATTGATGTTGAAACACGTCTCGAATTCAAAACCCGATCTTTTGCTTTGTAAGATATTGAGAGGACAAGCAAATATTTGTGCGGATGCCCTATATTTTTGGGTTGCGTATCGTCGTCGACACCCCTTACGCAGAAACGTCTACATTAATGTTCCTTTTCAGCATTCAGACGTGGCCCCACCGCCCATGATTTCTCATTGAAGGGATCTGTAAGGATGTAATTAACTCTGCAATAATCCCTCTGGATAGATTAAGAGAGAAGAAAAGATACATACAGAAAGCAATTGGCTATTAATTATGGAAAAGGCAAGGGGAGTTCTCTGGTTTATAGAGCTGCAGAGTAATCTAAAAGTCTTTCAGAATCAATTAAGAATGCATGCGCCTGACTCCCGTTGGAGTACGGAAGACTTGGAGTTGGTGGCTGAGAAACTGATACCGGGGTGAGAATATAGAGTGTAAACTTTGAGTCGAAAAGACAGGTTAAATTTGTGAAAGTGTCTGGGTGAAAGAGCGCTGGAGGCACAGTGTGCGTGGTGCCAAATGAAGACCTGGATGAAGTGCAAGGTGTGCTGTCAAGATGGAGTGCATTTATATCAGCATGCATTCTCTTGGCAGACGCTCTCTTAAAGGGACAGTTCACCCAAAAATGAAAATAGGCTGTTAATCTTCTCACCCTCAGGTCATGCAAAATGTAGGTGACTTTTTTTCTTCAATAGAACAGTAAAGAAGATTTTTAGCTGAAAAAATGAAACGATCGGTCTGTACAAGAAACTGAACATTATTTACAACATTACCAGATTTTATATTCTCAAAAATGGACAGCCATCCAGATTATAGTTGCAACTTTTTTTTAATTAGCTGAACTTAAAGGAATAGTTCACTCAAAAATGAACATTCTGCCATAATTTGCTCACCCTCAAGTTGTTCAAAACCTGTATGAGTTTGTTTCTTCTCAAGCAGGTTTGTAACAAGTGGAGGGTGAGTAAACAATGGCAGAATTTTCACTTTTGGGTGAACTATCACTTTAAGAGTGCTTTTTGACCCACTGAATTGGGGATTTCAGTACATATTTATTTATTTCATAATTCCATTGTCTTTGAAAGATGGTTAAAGTTACAGCTGAATAAAGTGAAAGGCATTTATGGTAAACTAAAATATACTTTAATGTCATTTCTATTGAAACTTATGTCATGTATTTAAATAAATTTGTAACTGAAATATATTACAAAATATATTAAAATCAAATGTAATATCAAATAAAAATAAAATGTTTTTTTTTTTATTATTATTTGAATTTGAATTAAGCTTTTTTAATTATTAATTAATAAAAAAATAATATAAGTTAATTTGATATTATTACAAAGTGCACCTATGATCTGCAATTATAATTACAGGAATCGTTCAGCCAAAATTGAAAATTCTGTAATTATTTACCCTTATGTTGTTCCAAACCTGTAAGAATGTCTTTCTTCTGCTGTAGACAAAAAGAAGATGTTTTGAAGAACAAACAGTTCATCGTCTCCATTGACTTTTATGGCATTTTTGTTTGTTAATTTTATAACATTTTTGTTTGTAAGTTAATGGGGACCAACAACTACTTGGTTCCCCATATTCTACCAAATATCTTAGAACACCATGAGGGTGAGAAAATGATTACAGTATATTAATTTTTGAGAGAAAGAGAATATATATATATATATATATATATATATATATATATATTGTTTTTACAGAAGTTCATTCAAATGGGTTTGAATCACCACCATTTTTTGGTGACCTGTTTCTTTAAGAGAGCTGTAGATGCCGAGGGTTTCTGTTTGAGAATGTCACTGTCATCTCATCTTTTCCACATTATCATCTCTCCCTCCCTCGTTATTTGCATGTCTTTTAAGTGGGTAATTAAGCAGTACTAGCTCCTTCAGAAGACAGTGAGATGACAGGGTTTCTGTGCCAAGTGACACATCTTCAGAAGAGCTCGAAGCCCCTTCTCTATTTACTGTGACAGCTCAGAGACACGGGTGCAGACAGCCTGACCCTCGGCAGCTTAAAAGGACCAATGGCTGCCAGAACTGAGAGGAATTTTCTCAGTATATATCCATCAAATGCTCTGTGAGAGGATCCAGAGGAGCAGACTGAAGGGAGATTCCTGTATCTGCTCATTAGCACATGACACTGCAGCAGCTACCAAACCTAACGACTTTAATGTCATTTCTATTGAAACTTATGTCATGTATTTAAATAAATTTGTAACTGAAATATATTACAAAATATATTAAAATCAAATGTAATATCAAATAAAAATAAAATGTTTTTTTTTTTATTATTATTTGAATTTGAATTAAGCTTTTTTAATTATTAATTAATAAAAAAATAATATAAGTTAATTTGATATTATTACAAAGTGCACCTATGATCTGCAATTATAATTACAGGAATCGTTCAGCCAAAATTGAAAATTCTGTAATTATTTACCCTTATGTTGTTCCAAACCTGTAAGAATGTCTTTCTTCTGCTGTAGACAAAAAGAAGATGTTTTGAAGAACAAACAGTTCATCGTCTCCATTGACTTTTATGGCATTTTTGTTTGTTAATTTTATAACATTTTTGTTTGTAAGTTAATGGGGACCAACAACTACTTGGTTCCCCATATTCTACCAAATATCTTAGAACACCATGAGGGTGAGAAAATGATTACAGTATATTAATTTTTGAGAGAAAGAGAATATATATATATATATATATATATATATATATATATATTGTTTTTACAGAAGTTCATTCAAATGGGTTTGAATCACCACCAT